ATTAAAATCTTAAATTGCTGTTTTACTAGTGTTAAACGGTGGTTATAAGAGAGGACAAAATGAAAAATAAGCACAACCAAAGCTCTAAGGGTAAAGCAAAAGGCAAAGAAAAAGATAATGCAATACTGACTAGTAACTTTTTTATTGCAATTAAGAAACGCAATAGCTCTGAGGAGACAGCATTGACATCAGGGACGCAAAAAGAACTAGAACATTCGGATAACTTAATGACATCAGCTGAGTCATCCTTAATAGATGAGTTAGTAGAGGTAGACAGTCATAGAGAAGAACAGCTCACAATTGCCAACATGAAGGAAGTAATGACAGATTTATTAAAAGATCTAAAGGCCTCTATGGTGCAGGAAATCTCTAGGGAGATTGCCAAAAATTACAAAGATATAAATACCCTCTCAAAGAAAGTTACAGATCTAGGTACCCAACAAGAACATTTGGTAGAATTACTTAACCACTCTAATCTGTAAATACAGAAATTAAAAGAGGAGCTTTTGGGCTTAAAACAGAAATATAGCAGATTGGAGATTTTTTCTAGACAAAATAATATCCGCGTAAGAGGGATACCAGAATTAGTGGGGCAGGTGGACCTCCCTAACTATATAATAGCATTTCTGAATTCTTTGGTGAATCCAGATTTTGAGAGGGCCCATATGCCAGATAGAGTTCATAGACTCCCTCTCTCACGCAATATCTCAAGGGATTTACCGAGGGATGTGATAGTGAAATTACATTCTTTTACTGTTAAACAAAAAATATTACAGAAAGCATTTGAATGTAAAAGCTTTGATGCACCTTACAAACAATTGAAAATCTTTCCTGATATATCAGGAGAGGTGATTATGGAACGCAAAGAATTCAGAATGATAACAAAAGCTTTAAGAGATAAAAATGTATCTTATAAATGGGGTTTCCCAACTAAACTAATTATTAAATTTGGTACGGAGTTTAAAGTAATCAACTCTCCACTAGAGGGAGAAAAGTTCCTCAGAGATATAGTCTAGTTGGGAACTGCTTAAAGTATGGTTATACTGAGATATTTGAGGAAGGGCATAGTATTAGAGGGTGGTAATGAGTATAGAAATGCACTTTAGTAGATCTTCTGGGGGAGGTTTAAATAATGGTTTTAGGGGGGTTATACCTCTTCTATTTTAGTTGATAAATTATGACACTTGGAACCAAATAACTGGGCAAACATAGAGCTCAGTGAGGTCCGAGCTCCTGGGGGAGATTTAAATTTTAGTTTAACCCCTAAAGGACACATGACATGTGTGACATATCACGATTCCCTTTTATTCCAGAAGTTTGGTCCTTAAGGGGTTAAAGGGGGGTTAGAGTTTTATTAGATTTTTTTTTATTCTTTATTTTTGTTGTGCATATACATATCACAGGCAGGTAAGAGGTGCCCCAAAAGCAGTCCTCCAACTTTTCCCACGCTCAACATGCGGGGCACAAGATGAACAAGCACATTTTATAATAATAACAAGTAGAAACAGTCGCTTGTGTAGGTAGCTATATGGTTAAATTAGGCTAGATCTATGTGTTGGCTATGCTTTTTGATATCTAAACAGTGTTGGCTTACAATATATATCGTGAAAATCTAAAGCATTATGATTAGGCATTAAGCATGCTTTGATTAGCAACCGGTTAAGGTTAGTTACATCGCTTTAGTGCTATTAGTGCGTTGGCTTTGCTTTAAATATCTGAGCAATTCTGGTACATAACGTATATCGTGAGAGTAATCTAACGCATTATGAGTAGGCAATCAGCATGCATTGATTAGCAGTAGGTCAAAGTTAGTTACATCGCTTTAGTGCTAGTAATGCGTTGGCTATGCTTTAAATTACTAAACAATGCTGGCACATAAGATATATCATGAAAATAATACAAAGCCTTGTGAGTAGGCAATAAGCATGCATTTGTTAGCAACAGGCTAAAGTCAGTTACATTGCTTTAGTGCTAATGTCACCCCGGCCGACCAGGATCGCCCATGCTGCCTCCGCTGTCTTCTTGGTGGTCCTGAGACCCCATATTCGGGGAGAGTCCCGCTATCATTGGACACCTGCTCGGTCTGATCCATGTAGCATGTATTGCGTGTCTAGTAGAGCAGGCTTCTGAACATAGTCCAGCCGTCAGGTTCCCGCTGGTTCCTCTGGGGCTGTAGCTGTGCTTCGTTATGATTGTCCCTCTTGGTTTTCGAGGGGCTGGAATTAGCTGTGGAGGGGAGCTTGGTGTTGTCTGCATGTGGTTGTCTAAGCCTGGGTGGTGTTGCAGGCTGGGTGTAGGGTGAGTGGGTGGTCTGTCTTTGCGTCGATGACAGGCTCAGTCCATTCAGGCAGTAATAGTCGGTGCGTGGGTTACCTCTATTCCCCCTGCGCCATCGTTGTCGTTGCTGGTTCAATTGGCTGCGGGGGCAAGTAATAATGATCCCGCTTCTTGGCTTTGCCGGTTCTGGAGGCAGGGGCTGCATTGTTAGCCATGGGCTCAGGTGTTGGGTGCTGGTCTTCCCTTTGTCTCTTGCGCACATGGCGCCCGCCATCTTGGGTCTAGCGGGGTGACCCCCCAGTTTCAGCTGCGGCTTCCTGGTCAAGGCTCCGGGGTGAGGACCGGGATCACCCCCCCGGTCCATAGGGCGGGGAACAGGGCTGGGTCCGTCCAGATTCGTGTCTCAGGTTGAGTGCTGTGTTGCAGGATGGTGGGGCAGCGGCCGTCTGCCCCACACATCGCCGGAGAAGGCCTCAGATAGATTTACTTAAGATTTCTCCTCCAGGGGACTGTAGCTCGGTGAGCCAGCCTCTCCATGGATCCAGCAGTCCCCCTGTTGTAGGTACCAGTGCTGTTAATCTGCTTTTCGTCTTAAAGACATGGTTTTTGGTCGTTTTTAATATGGAGTTGCAGGAGCTCTGCTTGCCTGCGACCGTCCAGCTCGGCGGTCCGGCCCCGCCCCCCTTATTAGTTTTTTGATAGGGTAGATTATGCTGAATAGAAATAAATAATTTACTTGTTAAAAGGATCACTGACTGATGGTTTGCCACTTTATATTAAGGTAATGTTAGTAATAATTAAGTATTTATTAAACTATGTCAAAGGTTGTTTTTGGGTAACATTTTAATATTACTTATTAGAATATAGATACTTGAATTGGTTCCAATTCATTGGAAAATTGCACAAAATTAGTTAGCTTTGTTGGGTTTAGGGATATGTGTATTAAATGGATTGCCCTTTTGCTAGTATTGAGCTACCTTAATGGAAACCCAGCACTGGTAGATAGGTAAATTTTAGCTAAGGATTTCACTAAGGGTAAATTAAGGTTTTATATGTAGGGCCCTTATGGGTTTAAATTTATAGTCATGTATTATATCAGAGTAAATATTATTGTTTTTTTGCACTGGAAAACTGCACAAAACAAGTTATTACTATGGATTAAATGTTTATCACAAATTATTATTATAGCAGAATCTTTGATATAGAAATTATTTAGATTTATTTGTATATTTTGACACAATGGTATGTTTCGCACAGTTGGTAAATCCCCAGGAATGATAGACAATTTTGATGTATTTTCTCTCCTACCTCAATTTGTTTGTTGTTTAAAGCAGCACTATGGTTTATAAGTGTGTTTACATGGCCTTCAATACTCACAGGAGGATGGCAATCTGGAGAGTGGGCTATGTTAGGGGTTTCTACCCGTTGGGTTTCAAACATAGGGATGCTTCTCTCCTTCATTCCCTCCTCTTCACCATCTGCTTATGAGGTTTGGCTGCTGGTCCTTGTGGCTCTTCGAGTCTTCACGTAGAATTTGCTTTATTAGTATCTGTTAGATTATTTTTATTTAATTGTATCATGTGATATAGATAAGTAGGGCTTTATTTTTGGCTGTTGTTGTTGAGGATGAATATAAAGACCACCGGCAAGTCTGATGGGAGACCTCCGCCAAGGTCTCGAACTGAGGTAGTTCGACGAAACTTAGATTTATCTGCCACTTCTAAAGGTGGTAGGTAGATCCATTAAGAAGATGATTGTATCACATCAATTTTTTATTTTATGCATGAATGGGTGCGAATGTGTTTATTATGTTATTTGGGAGGTTCCGAGACATGGGGTGGGAGGTGCTGATGGAGGTAGTTTAGTCTCAGAGTCGTGGTCAGTTTGGTTCACTATGACTCTCAGGATTATTAGTCAAAATGTCCAGGGTTTAAACACTATGGGTAAAAGAAGTATAGCTTTTAAAAACTTGTTTAAGGGTAAACCGAACGTTATATGTTTGCAAGAAACTCACTGGTAGACTAATAAAATTCCCTTTTTTGGTAATAGATATTATTCTAATCCTTATAATGCTACTTACTTGAGAAGTATATCAAGAGGGGTTTCAATAATATTTAATAAAACACTAATAATAAAAGAAGACATTGTCATAAATGATAAAGAAGGATGATATTTACTATGAGCAGGTTTGATTAATTCCCAGAAATTAACAATCTTAAATATGTATGTCCCTAACAAAGGACAAATTAAATTTATTACTCAGACATTGAAAGTAATGAAAACATTTTTTATAGGGACTTTAGTCGTCTGTGGAGATTTTAATTTGCCTTTGGATCCATCTGTAGATAGAAACTTTATGGGAGAGTTAAAATTG